GGGGGTCGGCCCGACCTGCACGCTGCCCTGCCAGGGCCATTTGCTCGCGGAGGTTTCCTTTCCTCCAATGATCCGGCCAGAAATCCGCTGCCCGCAGGCTGGAGGGGAGAGCGGGGCTGAGAGAAGGGCTCGGCGTGGAGGCAAGCCTGGAGGGGGATGCGCGTGACACCCCAGCACCCGCAGGCACCAGCAGCGCTCGGCAGCGGAGACCGTGCGAACGCAAGCTTCGTACTTTTCTACTACCCAGCAGTTTGCTGGAAAGCGCCCTATTTGCCCAACCCTGCGCAAAGAGAGGAGCAAAGCGCTCCCAAGCGCGTGCTCGGCCTCGCGCGCCCATGGCCCCGTGCCCTGCCAGCCAGCCCCCTTACTTGTGCATCGGAGGGAGACGTACTTTCCCGTGAGACACTGCGAGCTGCAGGAGAGCAGAGGGAGACGCAGGCTCAGCCCCGGCCCTGCAGCACCAGGGCAGGGGCAGGGCCAGGAGGCGATGCTGCCGGTACCTGTTGAGGCTCTGTTGGATGCTCTCTCCCTCGTCGGTCACGGTGAGGCTCTTGCCAGAGACCTGCAGGGGAACGTATTCGGTCTGCGACACACTGGGAGGAGAGAGGAGAGAGGCAGTGAGGGTCCCTCCTCGCTGGGCGCTGACCACACGGTCCCTGCCTTCTCAAAGAGGCTCTGCAAGCTAAACCTCGGGGTCACAGACCGAAACACCCGGAGCGGCGCTGGACACACAGTCTTCCAGCGGAAAAGCACAGTGCTGGGGGAAAGAGCACAGCCGACCGTGCACCCGGCCAGGGCAGGAGGGCCACGCCAAGGGACTGGCAGGGCCCCAGCGCCCAAGCAGGACCACCCAACCCTGGGGAATTACTTCTGAAATCCCAGCTGCCGGCAGGTCTTTCGGGAGAAGGAGTCGTCCCAGGCGCTGCTGCACACCAACAGCCCCAGGCTCTCGGCGCTGGAGTAGACGTGGAGCAAGGACTCGTTGGACACGAAGCGCACTGCGGGGGTGGAGCGGGCGGGTCAGTGGCACCCAGCACCCTGGGGCTCCCCTCGCTCCCACTGCCCCGGCTCCTGGTGCCTCACCACAGTCCAGCTCGTCGCTCCTCTGGGAGCAGTCGACGACGCCGTCGCAGCGCACAGGGCTGTCCTTGCAGCTCTCGGCGGGCTCCTTGTACACGATGCCGGTCTGTGACCGCCAGAACATAACTGGAAGCAAGCGCACGCTGCGGTAAGGCTGGGGCTGGTGGCAGGGGCTGGCTGGGGACAGGCAGGACATGGGAAGGGAACGGAGGCTTTCCCTGCAGCTCTCGGCCAGTCCCCCCAGGCTCCGCCGAGCCGCAGTCCCCCGGGCTGGGACCCCACTCACACAGCAGGATGAGGGCGATGAGCAGCACGATGAGCACGGAGATGCAGAAGATGAGCGCAAGCCGTCGCTGGCTCATGCAAGGAGCTCTGAACATGGAGGATCCTGGCAGCAGGACAGAGGCAGGGTCAG